GTGTGGAGCCCGATGCCGAGGTCGTTGTCGCCTCGGCGACTTAGGACACACCGTCAGTCATAGGGAGGTAACGGGCCGGACTAGAGAGGGTCGGAGGAGGTCCGCGTGAGCAGAGGGCGTAGGGGAGATCTATGATAGAAGGCGACGGGCGGCGCTGGTAAATTGAGCGAGGGCGTCGTCAAAGGGGGACGGGTGGTTCGGATCCAGGGTGCCTGAATGAGAAGGGAAAGTGAGGGGGGGGGGTGGAGAACCCTAAACCCTAGAAAAACCCTAAGAAAACCCTAACTGGAGTTTGAGTGGTTAGGGTAGGTTACCGGTGACCTAATCAAGAAAATAAAATAGCAAGCATAGGAAGGGAAAAAATAATTAAATAGTGAAATTTTGAGAGAAAAGTGAAAATAAATAAAAAATAAATAAAGAATAAAAATAATTAAAGAAATAAGTAAACACAATATGCAGAGAGAAATAATATTTATTTCTTTTGGAAATTTTGGCTGAATTTCCCTACCCCCCATGGGGTCAGGAATGTGTGAAGGGAAAGGAGAGACTAGATAAGCACATTAAGTTTCAAAATGTCGAAAATTAAAAAATTTCAGAAAATAAATAAAGAAATAAAAAAGACATAAATAAATAAATAAGTAGATGAGGAGATGGAGAGAAAAGTGTCTGATTTTTCAAAAATTTCGGCAACATTTTGTTACCCCCATGGGGTCGAAGTTTGCCGTCAAGAAGAAAGGCTAAGTAAAATGAGAAGATTTTGCCAGCACTGCACTACTCCCAAGGGGTCAAAATGTGTTGAAAAGACTAAGTGAAAGAAAAAACAGAAAATTTTGGCACCACTTCGTTACTCCCACAGGTTCGGAATGTGTGCCGAAAGCAAGAATGACTAACTCCTAATCAAATTTAAGGGTGCCGCAAAGAAATTCAAATTTCAGAAGGGGAAAAAAAAAAAAAAAAAAATCAAAAAATTAAAAAAAATGGTGGAAAATAAGATAATTCGAATTTTTAAAAAAATGAGGAAATATAAATCAAAGAAAGATAAAAAGAAGAAAAAATAGAAAGAAAAAAAAATCGAAGTAGGAGAGAAGGGGGATGAAAAAGTGAAGGAGAAAAGAGAGAAATAGGTGGGAGAGAGAAAAGAGTAAAGGGGGAGATGAGAGAAGTGATGGGTTGTAGTTGGGGGAGAGGGGGGGTGAGAGAATGGGAGAGAAAGGGATGGGAAGGGTGGGGAGGGATCAAGAAGCAAAGAAAAAAGGGGAGAAAGAAAAGAAAATAAATGAATAAAGTAGAGTAAAATAGTGGGTGGTGGGAAAAAATGTGGGGTGCGAAGAGGGGTATGAGTGGTGAGAATGATTAGAAGGAAGTGAGTGAGGCAGAAGAGAGAGAAAAGGTAGAGAAAGTGGGTTAGTAGGGAGGAGGAAGAGAGTGGGATGATACCTGGTCATTGGTGTCTCCAAGGGCACAAGGTATACCACGACCAGGAGGGTCTTGGCCTTCGCTGCCACAAGCCAGCTGGAGGACAGAGGGGGCTGAGATCTTGATCAACCCCTAGCAGCAGTACTGCAAATCTGTAGATCTAGGGTAGGTTGTGTGAGCAGACCCTCACCAGTGTAGAGCAGCCCCCTGATCAGGGGGGTCTTCAGTTTCACAGCAAGCTTCCACCTGGCACTGTAGATGACCACGTGTGCAGGCAGCAGCAGCCAGGGGGGGGGGGGGGGGGGAAATAGCAGCCCAGCCGTTACTGCCCTGCTGGCCGCTGCTCGCCGGGGGGGGGGGGGGGGGGTAAATAGCTGGCATGCACCTCTTCAAGAGCTGCGTGCCGCAGTACATAACCATAAACACACTGTGGCGAGTGTGTTATAGCAGCAGCTACGCATGCGTATAGCCAGCAGCTGCCCAGGTTCAAACCCTGGTGGCAGCGTACATCCCAGAATCTTGATAGTATAAAATCCGAGAGCAAGGCGGGGCGGGGCACCGACAACGGGGCAGCGTGTGCGTGTGCAACGGCCTTGGCCTTGGTGCTTGCACGCATGTGTCGTAACGCCGCTTCTCTTTTCGCGCCACGTGGCGGCTCCTTGCTGCTGCACCTTTTCTTGAATTTCCTGTTGTTTTCCGCTCCAGACAACAAAAAAATAGCGAAAAACCCCGCTGTCGGGTTTCGCCGTTTTCCCTGCTGTGCGGTGTGGCAGGTGGGAGCGGGGAGCGTTCCCGCTCTGATACCAGTGTGACAGACCCACCAACTGTGGTGCTCCGCCTGGGACAGAGATGGAGATGGAGGATGAAGGGGGAGCGAGATGGCAGAACACAGCTCCCACGTTGTACTCCAACGCACGTACTCCAAGATGTGCGAATGTAGAATGACCCAGAAAACAGACAACAGCTTGGGTATAACCTAGCGGACTGACGGGACTAGATTGGACTGGCTGGTACCAACAGAGGTACCGACCTGGATTGGACTACCCCGAATACAACACAGGCCTGTGAGAACAGGCCAAGGGGCTGGTCTCACAGGCCAACCAGAGGTCCGCTACACTCTCTCTCTCTCTCTCTCTCTCTCTCTTTCTCTTCCCACTCTCCTACATTCATCTGTAGGAAGAAAATTAATGTACCGCAACAATTGGGAAGATACAACAGGAGGTGTATTGAAAAAATGACATAAGCCGGTAGGGGTGAACTGAAAATTGTTTGGGCCCTCTGAAAGTTGGCATGTACAAAATATTTTGAAAAGTTAGACCGGTACCTAATAGGGGTATATTGCAAAGATGGGTACCGGGTATTTTGAAAAGTTTGACGGATACTTGGCAGGGTATATTGCAAAAGTGGTGGGTCCAATTCACATGAAGGGTATTTTGTAAATATTGTCTTATTGTTAGAAGGGTATTCCGCTATACCCATATCGTTTCGGGCGCATTTTGACATTTATCTTAACTTTGAGGGGTATAATGCAAAGTTTCCCTACTAGGTATTACTAACCGAAGTTTGCATTTTTTTTTGTTCATTACGAAAATAGGTTTCAAAAATTTGTTTGTCTACTGCTATTGATAGTTCGACTTTTTTTTTATTTTTTTATTTTTTATAATAAAGGTTGTGTAGGTTGGAGACAGTCTTACGGGGGGACCCTGTCACACGGCCATCGAGGGCAGACCCGCCAGGAGGGCCGGTGCGCCGAGCCTTCCTACGCTATTGGAGCGGGTACTACACTCGCCAAGCGAGACCTCTCACTGACGGGTCCGACCTCGATGGTATCTTTTGCCCTATCTCTTCCCTGTACACCCAACACACACACACACTTGAACCAGGTAAGACTCTATGATGATAGCTCACATCCTCACGTACCCTGGAAGGGGAAGGTTTCAACCAGGACCAGCGCTCCCTAGTCGCCTGCAAATCGCTAGTAGGACACCCCCGAACTCAGATAATGTATCTCCCAGGACATCTCGGTTGGGAGGCAGTCACGCACCCAAATCGCTGGGCCGATTCCTTTAAGGGAAAACCTCCGGCCCACCCGCCTTGCTGCCTCAGTTATGTTCTATTATAGTTGGTATTTATAGTTATTGTTCCAGGCTAGTCTGAAACTGAATGTTGCCATGGAGCTATGTAGGCAGTGTCTTACCTAAGACAACTCTAGACCAGCTTGTGTGCCACTCCAGGCTAGTCCGGAACCAAATGTTTCGACAGAGTCACCCTACGCAGGGTCTTATCTAAGCCAACTTTAGACCAGTTTGGGTGCCTCTTGGGGTTGTGTCATGGTTGGTACGTGTACCATTCCAAGCTAGTCCATAAACGAATGTTTCCATGGAGCCACCCTGGGCAGTGTCATTCCCTAAGCTAACTCTAGACCAGCCTGGGTGCCACTCCAGCCTAGTCTGGAACCGAATGTTTCCTTAGAGCCACCCTAGGTCGTATCTTACCTAAGACAACTCTAGACCAGTTTGGGTGCCTATCGGATTTATGTTATGGTTGGTATGGGTATATTCCGGGCTAGTCCGGAACCGAATGTTGCCACAGGGCAGTATCATTACGTAAGTCAACTCGAGACCAGCCTGTGTGTCACTCCAAGCCGATTCGGCTCCGAATGTTTCCTAGGAGCCACCCTAGGCAGTCTTACCGAAGTCAACTCAAGAGCAGCCTGAGTACCAATCAAGGTTATATTATGGTTGGATTGTGTGTTGTTATGTACTTTATGCCCACCAGTCTCCGACCCTCCTTATTTTCGCTGGACAAGTAAGGGCGTCTACTCTTCTCTCCAGACCCCCTATCAGTTCCACTACAATCCCCCCTTCCCACAAGGGGGTAGCTGCGACATCACCCCGGGCTATCCTCCCCTGAAGACTGCTGGCGACCGGCACAAGCATCATGCTAACACGAATGTATCCCTCGCATAAGCGATATGAGACGCTGTCCTCCAGCTAGACTTTGAACCCGTGACCTCTCCCAGGATATATGAATGCTCTAACCACCCACGCTCATGCTTACTGTCCCGGGTTCTACCTCAGCTATGGCCGGGGGACTACTCCGTGGGGTGTCAATCTAACACCATCCCGTGCATTCGCAGGACAGGCTGAGCCCGGTGCTGTAACCAACTGAGCTACCACGTTTCGTCCAACTTGTCCTGTCTGGTCCAAATATTTTGCAAAACTTTCACCTTACGTCCAGGCCCTGCGGCTGTGCTCTCCGTGCCCTCTCGGCCGCCAGCTCAAAATAATGGTTCGATGTGTTCACCGCGCCCAGAGGCACCCTTCGAAGTGGTTCGACGGCAGTCAAATAGCCGTCCGACCAGAGCTCCAAGAAAGATCTAACGGTCAATAGGCAATGGAGGAGCTTAGGTTGGGGAGGCCCGGTCCGGACAGACCGTCCCACGGCGTGGGGCTCCCAACGAGCAATGCGCACACCCGGAGGTAGTCGCGGATTATCGGAGCCGCCCATCTTCCGGCCGGAGCTGCGCGCATGTGTCGTGGGGGCCATCAGCGGGGTTCGGACGGGAAATACCGCGAAGAAACCCGAGCAGGCTGGTTCTGAAGGGAGAAGAGCTGCCGAAGACTGGTCCCTTTTGATCGGGCATCCGACGGCGGCATGTTGGACACAGGCGGTGCTGGGCCACACAGTGTGAAATGTGGTAAAGTGTACGTGACGGGTATTGAAAGGTTCTTCACGCTCTCGGCCATAGCCGGCAGAGCTAAGTAGAGGACACGTAGCATATCGCAGCCCCTTCTCGAACTCGAGCCGACTGCCGAAAGGAGGACGTTCAAGATGACGGCCGAGACGGCAGCTGAGGTCGCTAAAGAGCTGGAGGCACAGAAGCATGAGGTGAGAGAGTGCCTGAACATCGCCAGTCTCTTTTTGCGGTCGTCGTCTTTTCGATCTTCACTGTTTGATATAATCTTATGCTTTCTTTGGGACCCTCCGGAAGTGAATGGCCATTGTAGTCCATGTCCTATGCCTCGTCGCTGACGCGAACACTTGGCGGCGTATTCTGCGTGCCGGCGCATGCCACATGCCGCCATCTATGAAAAACAGTGGAGACGGGATTCAGATTGGCCGGCTGACGTGTCCTTCTGTTTGTTGTCTTGCCGATCGATCGCTGCTTTGTGATTATTCGTGAATGTCATCAGTCCCAGTCAAATGTAAGGCACGAAATGTGTGGCCGGCCGGCTGCTTTTGCTTTATCATTCTTCGAAGTTTTGGCACGTTGACGAGGCTGTTTTTTGATGAATGTGGCAGAATTATGTGTTCCTATTGCTGATTGATATGTGTTGCTCTCTATGTTGCAGGAGCCAACCGTCGAGGACGTAAATGATGACGATTCGGATGACGAGGAAGATGATGACGACGTTCCCGACCTGGAAGAAGCCCAGCATGAAGGTACGTGTCTTTACTGATCTTATCTTTATACTAGGCATCCGGAAAATTCTGTTCTGATGCATTGAATGGAATCAGATTTGGACTGCTATATACTATGCCTTCTATTCCAAACAGTCTCTGTCATCTGTCGTCTCTTTTTCCTTCCCTTAGACGATATATGCCAGTTTATGGCAGTGTATCTCGCGAGCAGGTGCTCTCTGTTGGAGTGTGAGCCTCTTTTAGCTCCTCCTTGGCGTCGTTCTCCCGCACTCTTGAGGGCGTGGTCTCCATGGCTGTGCTATCCGCCAGGTCATGACGATTACTCCCATCTCGTAGGTCGTTTGTCAAGTTCTCATCGACAAGTACTGAGACTGTAAATGAGTTTGCTTCGTTTCTTTTGTATGTTCTTTTATCGATGTTGTAACCTATTCTTACTTTGGTGTGCGTGCTGTCGACTGCATGATTCGATCAATGCCTTCTGAGAGGGCCTCCGTCGTCGAATTGTATTCTCCGCGCCTCCTTTGCTCTCTTTTCGATTTCACTGCTTGCTCGTTGTCTTCCTGATCCCTTCATCGAGTGTCCGAATCCCTGGGGATGTGTACTTATGCCCTCGTACTCAAAACCTTCCGTTAAGCCTCTCGCCTTTGCTACGCGCGAACTGGTTTTAGTCTTATGTGAACTCCTTCAGCTCTGATTCCGCAGCATATTTTTCGGGCGTGTTTAGCTCGTGTTATTTGGATCGACTCATATTTACGAGGGGCGTCATGAGTGAATATATTGGAATATGTTTTGTGAGGCGCTTCAGCATGTCCAGCCGTGACTGCTATCCCTTTCGCGTGTCGTTTTGCTTTCTTCTCTGAGGTTTTCTTTTCCCTTCGAAAGAGTTATGTGGCGTGCGGGGCATAGGCAAAATTGTCGTATCTATTCGAACCCTAGCCAGGCACAAATCAGCACCGCGGATGCTGTATTTGTCCTGAGGTTTGTTAGGTCATGGCGCACATGCCATATCTGAGCCCTAGCTGCGACTTAAGTTTCAGCCAGCGATGTTCCCCCTCCAACAGGGGTCTTACGTCGTGGAAGATCTGCTCGGCGTGAGGTTCCGAATTGTGGCTCCCCGGTGTCGTAGCCCTCCTTTTTTTCGTGCTTGTGTATTGGCCGTCTTCTTCTGTGTTTTGTATCTTGTGCCGGATCTTGATTTACTCAGCCAATCAATTTTCGATGGCCGGTTGTTCAATCTGAGTTCTTCAAATTTTCCATACGTTGGGTAAAATTTCCGTGTGTTCCTTTCCACCCTGCATGTTCTGCCTCTCTCTTGATTACCATCTCCGGCTTGTGCATCCTTGCGAGTGCACATTCAAAAATTTCCCCTCCTGTCTATTTTCTACTCTGGCTTCCTCATAAGTGGGGTATCACGTCATACCTAATTTTCTCTATTTGCCTGTCACATTAAATTTGCAAGTCCCTCAGACTCGTGCTTCGCGCGTCCCTCGGACTCGTTGTACGATCACCTTGTTCGTCTACCTGTAACGAGTTTCTTTGGGATTCATATCTATGCCTGACCTCCGTGCCTATCTATCCAATTATTTTAGTGCTTGCCTGTGTCCTCACATCTACTCTTATGTGCGTGGCTTTATGCCTGGGTTGCTCTCCTCATGCTCCGCTTCCCTCCACCTGCGTTGATCCTCTCCTGCGGCGCTCCAATCTTCCGCAACTATTTCCTTCGTGGGTTCTCCCGTCCCGCCTGGCTTTGAAGTCTGCTGTTCCCCTCGTCCGTGACCACCCCCTCATGCGCGACTTCCCATTGTTGCGAGTCTTTCCCGCGTGCTTTTACCGTCTTGCGTGGCGCTCGCTCGTCTTGCGGGGCTGTTTCATATCTTGGGTGGCTCTCCCCGGTCTTGCTTGCCTCTCCCCCATCTTGCGTGGTCTTGCGTGGGTCCGTTCATGTCTTGCCTCTCCGGGGTCCTGTATGGATCCTCCCATTTTGGCTGCGCCCCCCGTCTTGGCTTCCCCTCTTTCATATCTTTCGCCCTCTTGTGTGGACCCCGTCTTGGTCGGCCCCCCCTCCTTCGTGGGCGTCCTCCGCACCATGCAATTCCCGTGCTCTTGCTCGGCCCTCTTGGCGGTTGCCTCTTTCTTTTCCGGCTCCCTCCGGTCTTGCGTGCCCTCCTGTGAGGCTTCCCCCTTCGTGGTTACTGTCACCCTCTTACGTGGCTCACTGTCCTCTTGCGTGGCCTATCCCCCTCTTGCATGGCCCACACCCGATGTGGTTCTTCCTGTCGTGTGGCTTACCGTTGAGTGGAGCATCCCTGTTTTGTGACGACAGCCGTGTTGTGTGGCTCACCCTCTTGCTTGGTTCAGCCTCTTTCGTCGCTTACCCTACTCCTGCGTGGTACGACCCGGTTTTGCGTGGCTCAATCCCTTTCGCGGAGTAACCCGCTTTTGCGTGGCTCAGCTCTCTCTTTTGGCTTAGTTTTGTATGGCGGCATGCCTGCGCGGCTCCCCTTCTGCAAGACTATGCTTCTGCGTGGCTTCTTTTCTGCGTAGCTGCCCCCCTGCTAGCCAGTCTTTTCCGCACCTGGGATGTTTACTTTTGGCTCCCATCGGCGGCTCGAAGATTGCGGTTTTCGAGCTGCGTGACTTCATTGGTGTGCTTTTCGGTTCCAAATATAGTCTGTTTTTTTCCGTTTACCAAATCCATGTTTCCTTCTTTCTCATTGTTATCATCTGCTGCGTGTCCGCTTTTGCTGATCTTTCTCTACCTCCCCATAAATCATCTGTTCTGCCTCCACACATCTAGATGGAGCGAGCTTGTATACGATCTCGCCTTGCTACCTTGCTGCATTTCATCTTGCTAATTAATCATCCCCCGTTTTTTCCTGGTCTCTCTTTCTCCGCTTCTTTCGTTGGTGGCTTGCCTTTGTTTTTCGGTGTGTTTCCTCTTCATTATGTCTTGTCATACCATCCTACAGGGACGTGATCTTAATACCGCTTGCTATTATTTACTCATGTCTTGTTCGCCTGTGCTACCATGTATTCCATCGTCATATCCAATACTTGATTTGGTCCTCTCGCTGACCTTTGCAAACCCTACCATGGCAGTCTTTTGTCCTGAGCATTTCCATCGGCTCTCTTTGGAGTCTGGGCGGAATCTCCCCAGAAATCGCCTTTGATGCACCCACTTTTTCAGCCATTGCCACTAAAGTCGTGCTGGCTTCTCCATTTTCTGCGTGGATTCATGCTTTTGTGCAGTGTTTCTGTCTCTGCCTCGTCAGTCTGGGCCGCGTGTTTTGCCACCTCGCCCACTTTGCGCTTTGATTACCCCTCTTTTTCGTCTTTCCTTGATCTTGTGCTCGATTTCTCAGGTATTAATTTTTTGTACTCAGTGTCCATCGCGTTCTTCCTAATGAACCCTTTCCATTTACCAGTACTTGTCCTCCTATGCGGGCGTAAATGTTATCCTATGTTTTACTTCCTTTTGATCTGTTCGTACGGCCCCATTCAGTTCGGCTGTGGCCTACGTTCTTTCAGGTTTAGCACTTGTTGTCATTTTAGTCTGCCTGGGTTTTTTCTGCCTCTGTTTTTTTTATGTTTTGCTCCATTGAGGCGGGGTTTGCCGTTCGTTCGTTGATTGTTTCTCTGCTTTCCTCGCGTTTGCAATTTTTTTGTGGCTTCATTTTGGATTTAAATTCTCTATGAATTTGGGGCCACGTGTTGCGCTTGTTTATCTTTGTCGTGTCGTTTCTCTTGTTCTATCTAGGGTTCTTGATACTCTGTCTGCTTCACAATTCAGTTTCCTACGGTTTAGTCTTATCTCTCACACATCAGGTGTGTCGATTTCACTTTTCTTCTCGCTTGCATTGTTTATTTATCCCTCGTTTTCCGCTTTCCTCTTCTGAGTTGTCTTCACCCTATGTAGATCCTGCCTAGTCTCGATTTCGCGTTTCTGTTCACACAGTACTTTCCGTCTCGGTTTCTTCTTTTCCCTCCCATGTTGACTTTCATTCTATATGAGGTTGTCTCATTTCCTGTCGGCGCTCTCTTTTTCCAACCATCATACCGTTGTCTTCGAGTTTCGTTCTCTGCACTCCCTCTCCCCTTTGCCTTCGGCCGCTGTCCGCTCTCTCCCTTTTTGCCTTATGAGGAATTCGGGTCTCGTTTTCTTACGAGCACTTTCCCCTTGTCTGTATCACGCCTGTACTCTCAAGTATTACTCTTCCCCCATCTTCCCTGCCCTGCTGTCGTTTGCCTATGATGATCGGATTCGGGCATTTTCGCCAGCGATGTCTGCCCTTGTCACCCTCGGCTGGCCTGCCACCCCGCCGCCGCCTCGTTGTCCTGTCGTTACCCTATGCCTGTGCTGTCCTGTGTCTCTCACGCTCTCAGATCATAAGCCGCTCGCAATTTCGTCGGTCGGTGTGAGATTTTTATCGTGTATTGTCTTTTTGATCCCTCTCGGTCGCCCACTGCTTGTCCAGCCTATGATCAATCCTGTGCATTCGGATTACTCCCACTGCACTCGCCCGTCCGTTTGTGCTTTTGGATTATTTCACGCATGTGTTTCGCTTCCTTCGTTTATTGTAATATACGCTACTGTTGTGGCCTTTTACTTCTCCGCAGAGCTATTTTCTGGACCCGCCATGGCTGGCATGGTTTTTATCTTTCCGCCTTCCACTCGTCTTCGGCTTTCGGCCTTTTCCTTCGTTCGATTCCTTTCTATTTTCTTTTTCTTGACCTCCACCCTCCCGTTCGCTTGCTGTTTTTTCTCGCTTGTCTTTCCTTCCGTCCCTGATTCTCTCTTTGCACTTTTCTTTCCTTCATATGTCATGCTGTCTTAATTCCTCTTCGTGCTCCCGTGTCGGTTGTTGTTGTCGTTCTCATGCCCTGGCTACTTGCAATTCTGCACCGTCCGCGCATCATTCAAGACTTTTGTGAATTTGGCCCCGTATACGTACGTGAAACTTGGCTTACTTTGCCCAGGTAAGTTCAGGAATTTCTCAAGTCTGTATTTCAACAGCTTGTGCGTGTACCAACTGAGCTAGGCTTGTCAGTGTGTGGAACTTGTAGCCGCCCAGAACTTCCTAAGATATCTGTTTTGACACTCAACGCCTGGGTTTGCTGGGTTGCTAATGTCTCACGAACGCCTCTTGGGTCTTTTTTCCTCCCGGGATTGTGTGCTGCTGTATACAGTGTAATTGCGTCCACGAGATTCGATATCGGCGAGGAGGTGGCTCCCTTTTTCAGTTTCCTTGTCAAGCTGTAAATAACCGTTCTTTTTCCCTAATGCCGTTTAATTTTCGTTTCCATTATTCTTCCGCACTGTAGCCGAATGATGTGAGCCATTGCCGTCTCCTCACTCTTGATGCCGTGTGACTTTCTTTTCCATTATTCTTCCGCACTGTAGCCGAATGATGTGAGCCACTGCCGTATTCTCTCTCTGGCGGGTGTATTGCCCTCCCCCTGCCTCCCTTTTTGGTGCTCAGCCTACAATGGTGATCTGTTTTCCTGCTTCTGAACGCTTTGCTTATTTGCGGATATGCCACGAATCGGCATTGGGCCGAATGAATCGTTTTGGTCTGTTAGTAAGAGGTGGGATGGACCGTCTATCAGTCGGAAGATGATTTGCCGTTTCTGTTTGCTATTGGCCGCGGGATGTGCTGCAGATACTGAAGTGCGAGCCAGAAATGAACGAGTAAGGATATTCCAGGCAAGGCGCGAGTGTGTGAATAGCGTGCAATCGTTTGAATGTTATCTGATGTTTGGTGCACATGTTTGTCTAACCGCCGCACCTCGCTCAATCGTTGACACTGCGCTCGCTGATGTGTGTTGCACATGTTTTTTGTGTAACCGCCGTTCCCCGCAGGGGAGGACGGTGTTGCAGGGCCCGGAAGGACTAAGCAAAGCCGAAGTGAGAAGAAGAGTCGGAAGGCAATGCAGAAGTTGGGCATGAAGCCAGTCCCGGGAGTTATCAGAGTAACGATCAGGAAAAGCAAGAACGTAAGTCCAGACGGCCTCCCCATGAGTGTGATTCCTGCACTCTCCGAGAGAGTTTTCACTCTTTGTTCACTTGTGTAACGCGGTTCCTCTTCGACATTTCCTGACGGAAGGCGTAATTAATCCTTCCTCGTGACGTGGATATTAGCACTGCAGGTAGTCCAGAGGGTGCTGCCTGCTTTTATCAAGGCTGGTGTGCTCCGCACGTCCTGTGATGTAAAGAAACAACTATTGCGAAGAGAAATGGAGAAGAAGGAATAACTCGAGAGCAAGAGTTGGCTTGGTGTCACTTGAAGTTGAATCCGTATTCCTCATCGGATGTTAAACACAAACGGCAAGGTTGATCTTGGGAAAAGAACGTCGGGTGGCGAAGTTGATCTTCAACTAGGGAACGGAAGGCACTGATATTGAGGCTTGATTTGTCCCGCGAGGAGGGCAGTTGGAAGATGAATTGGGGTCATTATGGTTCTCTGATGTACCGGGTCCGTACTGTGGTGTTTGGTTAATGCTTGCGAGAACCCGAGTTTACTGTTGTGAACAAATGCCTGAGACTCCGTAATTCTGGATTTTGCAGACTAGGTTCGAAACCGTGCTGAGTCTGTCATCGATCTTATGGAATTTTGAGGCAGAGAGAACATCGGCTTGATCTATGAATCCAACAGACATTTCCACAGCGAGTTTATGGAAAGGGGAGGGGAGATATTCATGGTGGTCATGTATTTCTTATCTTGTCTAAGGTGTTTGATTGCTGGAAGATTTGACACTGCGTGGTCTGAGAGATTGTGACTCTCCATGAGAGTTTGTTCTTCACGTTCGGTGAACTGCATGCCAGAACCTCAAGAACATCAACAGGGAAGCTAGATGCTCAATGACTGTGAATTGCGCAAGAAAGTACAGAATGGAAGAGGCCTTCTTTATCTAGTAATCAACGTTTCTCCAGCCCAAAGGTGCAGGGAATAGCTAGGCCGAAAGGGGCGTGTATCTTGAAGAGCAGGGTAGTGGATTGCACGGGAAGGGAGCGGAAACCAAGCTATGATACATCTTCTATGGCCAAGCTTCTGTGAGGAGCTGTAGGTTGAATTTGCAGAGCAAGGAAATGCTGATTATCATGTGATTGCTGCCCGCAAAGTCCCTTTGAGACTCACTCTGAGTCGGATAGTATTGGTTGATGATGCGCGATTATTATCGTTTAACGATTATAGTGGGCTTGAACAGGCGACCTGTCTGTCATCCATGATGGACACGACGGACTTCCAGGTCTACTCACATTGGGCGGTGGGTCTGGCGCTGTTCGGTGCTGGTGTCAATTCTGTTCTCTGATCACACAGAATACAAAACAGGCCGAGGAATCCGTCTTGACGTGCGTGATCTCCAGCGGTAGCACTCCGACCGGTCTACATTCGTCAGTGGTAATCTGTACCAGGGGGACAGGAAATGTTCTTGATGTGCATAATCTTCCCGTGATGTGCGTAATCTTCCAGTCGACCTACAGATGTCCGAGTAGGTTCTGAGATCCCTATCCCTACATTTATAATATCGCATACGCGAGAAATCTGCCATCCGGGCCGTCCCGGTCCTACCGGCCCGACGGTTCGGATTGTCACCTGATCTTAAGACTTTTAATCTCGGCCGTTGGCCAACTGGTATACGGTCGATCGTGGCCCGATCTTAAAATTTTAAGATCGCACGACCATCTGCCCCGTCGGGCCAGGACCATGGACGGCCTGGATCATCGCGCGACGGTCGACGGCCCAGATCGTGGCCCGATCTTAAAATATTAATATCGCACGACCATCGGCCCCGTCGGGCCAGGACCATGGACGGCCTGGATCATCCCGCGATCTTAGAAGTTCGCAGCACAACCGAAGTTAGGGCTATCAGGCGTGGGGAGAATGCGGCTCCAGGCGGGCCGGTCTCCTCTAATCGTATAGGGCGCCAGCGTTTCGGCCTCCGTGCGTATCTTTTGTTGCGCACGGAGCCTGTGTATAGCGAACGAGACAATGCGCACTCACACGGCTTCCCGCCACCCGCCCGCCCGCTCGAACAAGAACATGCACAAACACGCATATGGACGCACACACGCACGAACACATGCACATGCACGCACGCACGCAAATGCATCATGGGCAGACTGTCGGGGTTCAACCTCCTGATGAGTTGGTGAAAGTCCAACATAACAATCTGGCACAGTCGGGCTTTTCCGGGGGGTTCACGAAACACACGAACCGTGGGTGGGTGGGTGTGCTGAAATGCATCACGGGCAGACTGTCGGGGTTCAACCTCCTGATGACTTGGTGAAAGTCCAACATAACAGTCTGGCACAGTCGGGCTTTTTTGGGGGGTTCACGAAATACACGAACTGTGGGTGAGTGGGTGTTCTCGTGTGCGCCTGCGCGTGCGCACGAGAGATAGATAGATAGATAGAGAGAGAGAGAGAGAGGTAGAGAGCGAGAGAGAGCACTCAAGCTCACCACCATGACGACGCTGACTGATGGAAATGAGGATGACGACGGCGATGAAGATGAAAGATGATAATGGTGTCGGGAAAGGGGGCCGAAACAGGCTATAGTGGTTTTGTTTTTCTTTTCTACTGAGTCTGATCGCGAGGGGGAGACGAAGACGAGGAGAAAGGCGAGAAATAGCAAAAGAAACACGAGGGAAAGGAAGGCGGAAGCCGAAGAGGAGGGAGGGTAGGGAGGTACAAAGAGATGGAGCTGGTGGAGGAGAAGGGGGAAGAGGAGGACAAAGGAGAGACGAGAAGAGGGAAAGGAGGGGGCCGAAACAGGCTATGGTCGTTTTGTTTTTCTTTCCTACTGACTCTGATCGCGAAGGGAGACGGAGCAAAGCGAAGGGAGGACGAGGAAGAGGGAGAGGAAGACGTGGAGGAAAAGCAAGGTGAAAGCTTAAAGGAGGGAGTGTAGGGAGGTAGAAAGAGATCGAGCTGGAGGAGGGGAAGTGGGAGGAGGACAAAGGGGAAGGACGAGAAGAGGAGGGAAAGGAGGAAGAATTGGAAAGGTTAGGGGGAAAGTCGAAAGGGTGGGGGGCGAATGCTAGAGGTGCGAAATGGCACCACATAGATGCGCCATGTGGCGCGGATTTTTTCGTTTTCTCTTTTCCGTTATTTGTTTGTTTGTGTTTGTGTGTTTGTGTTTGTGTGTTTGTGTTTGTGTGTGTGTTTGTGTGTGTTCGTGTGTGTGTGTGTGTGAGAGAGAGAGGGGGGG